ATTAACAATAAACTGGACTGGTCCATAATACAAACGCCCTGCACAAGAAGGGCCAAAGTCGCCTCTTCCTTCTGAGGAGGCTGAGGTCCTTCTGAGGAGGCTGAGGTCCTTCTGAGGAGACTGAGGTCCTTCTGAGGAGGCTGAGGTCCTTCTGAGGAGGCTGAGGTCCTTCTGAGGAGGCTGAGGTCCTTCTGAGGAGGCTGAGGTCCTTCTGAGGAGGCTGAGGTCCTTTGGAGGAGGCTGAGGTCCTTCTGAGGAGGTCCTTCTGAGGAGGCTGAGGTCCTTCTGAGGAGACTGAGGTCCTTCTGAGGAGGCTGAGGTCCTTCGGAGTGAGCAGGCCTCTGCTCAGGACTTTTTATGACTCTGTGGTAGCTTCTGCCATTTACTACGCTGCCGTGTGCTGGGCCCCGGGCAGCACAGAGCGGGACAGAAACAGACTGAACAAGCTGGTCAGGAGGAGGTGAGGGACAGGAGGCCCCTGGACTCTGTGGAGGAGGTGAGGGACAGGAGGCCCCTGGACTCTGTGGAGGAGGTGAGGGACAGGAGGCCCCTGGACTCTGTGGAGGAGGTGAGGGACAGGAGGCCCCTGGACTCTGTGGAGGAGCTGAGGGACAGGAGGCCCCTGGACTCTGTGGAGGAGGTGAGGGACAGGAGGCCCCTGGACTCTGTGGAGGAGGTGAGGGACAGGAGGCCCCTGGACTCTGTGGAGGAGCTGAGGGACAGGAGGGATCTAGCCAAAGCCACCTCCATCATGAACAACACCTCCCACTGCACAGGACTGTGGAGGAGCTGAGGAGCTCCTTCAGTGGAAGACTGAGACACCCTCAGTGTAGGAAGGAGCGCTACCGCAGGGCCTTTATCCCCACCGCTGTCAGACTGTACAATAAGTCACTTTAAATGATCACTGTGTGAAAACCTGCACTACTATTGACACTGTTTCCAATTGACACTTGTCACTTTTGTTGTACATAATTATTGTCACTTTATTGTACATATATCCTGCATGTAACATGTTTGCACATTTCCTCCTTTGCACAATCTGAGTGTCTCTATCCATGCCAAATGTGACATGTACATTTCTCCTCTGTGAGATAAATAAAGCACATCTTATCTTATCTTATCTTATCTAAAGTCAAACTGTGAGAAGAAGAAAACTCTTCACAGTTTGAACAAATGTGAAGAACTTGAATAGAAACCACTTCAAACATTAAAAACAAAAGTACATAGTAATAGTTATTTATGTAGCGCCTTCACAGACCACAGTCACACTGTACTATTGTTGTTGCATTGGTCTCTGAGTCCACACAGAGACGGAGCGGGTCACAAACAGGACGTACATGTTTTTAGAGGTAGGAACAACCGGAGCACCTGGAGGAAACCTACGCAAACACAGGGAGAACATGCAAACTCCCAACAGAAAGGATTTGAGATGAATGAAGTAAAAACATATGAAGTCTGCCCCATGTCCACAAAGTCATTCATGTGTGTGTGTGTGTGTGTGTGTGTGTATGTAAGTGTGTGTGTGTGTGAGTGTCTGTGTGTGTGAGTGTCTGTGTGTGTGCGTGCGTGCGTGTGCGTGTATGTGTGTTCTCTGGTCCATCAATTCTAGTTTTGTGTATGTTTTTGTGTTTCCACGTGACCGGGACTGACCCATCGCCACGGAAACGCTTCCTGTCGCACTGACCGATTCTCCGTTAATTAAAGACACTTCGCTCTGGCAGCCTGCGACTGTGGGCAGTGTGTGTGTGTCTCTGTGTTTGTGTGTGTCTGTGTGTGTGTGTGTCTCTGTGTGTGTGTCTGTGTGTGTCTATGGATAATGATGAGAGGCAGAGATGAAGGCGTTTCCCGGCAGCGTGTGGCGGTCAGGGGAGAAGCTCGGCGGGAGCTTAGCGACCACAGTCACCGCACTCACTAATGATCTGTGTGTGTGTGTGTGTCTGTGTGTGTCTGTGTGTGTGTCTGTGTATGTGTCTGTGTGTGTCTGTGTGTGTGTCTGTGTATGTGTCTGTATGTGTCTGTGTGTGTCTGTGTGTGTGTCTGTGTGTGTGTGTATGTGTGTGTGTCTGTGTGTGTCTGTGTGTGTGTCTGTGTGTGTGTGTGTGTCTGTGTGTGTGTCTGTGTATGTGTCTGTATGTGTCTGTGTGTGTCTGTGTGTGTGTCTGTGTATGTGTCTGTGTGTGTCTGTGTGTGTGTCTGTGTATGTGTCTGTCTGTGTCTGTGTGTGTGTCTGTGTATGTGTCTGTGTGTGTCTGTGTGTGTGTCTGTGTATGTGTCTGTATGTGTCTGTGTGTGTCTGTGTGTGTGTCTGTGTGTGTCTGTGTGTGTGTCTGTGTATGTGTGTGTGTCTGTGTGTGTCTGTGTGTGTGTCTGTGTGTGTGTGTGTGTCTGTGTGTGTGTCTGTGTATGTGTCTGTATGTGTCTGCATGTGTCTGTGTGTGTGTCTGTGTATGTGTCTGTATGTGTCTGTGTGTGTGTCTGTGTGCACTTGTTTTCAACTCCTGGTGGGTTCCATAACCTGAGATTCCACTCACGTCATGGGGACTGGTTTTACGTGGTGGGGCCCGAACACCGGACCCCACTGGTCCAAGCTTAATAATCAATGGGTAATGCTTTTCTAACGGTCCTTATGCAGTCTCTGTAAAAATATGGAAAGGACCCCTGGAGGTTTACTTTCCTGAAAAAAGTGTGTTATGTGTCGGAACCCTGGTGGTGGGTTGCGGGATATCAAGGAGGGGCACACTGGGGCAATTTCAGTCCAGCAGGCTGGAGCCAATCATGGAGCAGCACAACAGAGGAAATCAGGTGTCAGGCTAGAAAAAGGTGCAAGTGTGTGGTTCATTAGGCTGCAAGAAATCACAGAGCAGCACACTGAAGCGCACGCTTACAAACCACTGGTAAGTGCTGACTACAAGTCATGACTTCAAATTGTTATATAGAATGATTACAAATTATTTGTTGTTTGTGCAGCTTAGTCAAGAGTCCCTAATTGATGAAGTCGACTCAGATTCTGACGATTTAACTGTCAAGAAGAAACCTGTAAAAAAGTATGGAAAAAGAAAAATCAAAAACACTTTTCTTCAAGACTCGGAAAGTGACGAACCAAAGGCAAATAAGATTGTTATCATGCAGCTGCAAAAGAAGAAAAATGGGGGGCGAGTATACAGCAAGAGACACTTCTGCCTCTACTGTTCAATGTCCTGCCACAAAATGTCCCGTCATTTGACTAGAAAACATGGAAATGAAAGTGACGTAGCCAGAGCATTGGCTCTACCTGTGAAATCTAAAGCACGTAAACTTCAGTTTGATTTGATCAGGAATAGTGGAAACCGTGAGCACAATTTTGAGGTTTTAAAGGCCGGCATTGGAACTTTAGTCCCAGCTAAACAGCCAAATTGCCCAGTTAAATCCAGTGAGTTTTTGCACTGTATAGACTGTGGGGCATTGCTTAAGCGAAAGTCGCTGTGGAGGCATGTGGCCAGGTGCCGGCTTTCACAGAAAGATGCCCAGGCTAAACCAGGCTAAACCAGGTAGAAGTAGGGTCCAGTCCCTCTGCTCCCTAGCCCAGCCTGTACCGGAGGGCATCAGCAAAAAGCTGTGGTCTTTAATTTCGGCAATGCATCAGGATGAGGTCACGGGTGTTGTCAAAGCAGAAAAGGGGATTCTGAGACTCGGAGAGCACCTGTACTTAAAACACGGGCATGATAAGACAAAGCATGATTACATTAGGCAGAAAATGAGAGAAGTCGGTAGGTTAATTAACGAAGCAAAAACCGCAGGGAAACTGAAAACAATTAAGGATTTCTTTATTCCTTCCAACTTTAACCATGTGATTGATGCAGTCAGGTCTGTGGCTGGATATGATGAGGAAACAAATCAATACAAGACTCCATCCTTGGCCCTCAAACTCGGCCATAGCCTCAGAAAGCTAGCAGATATTCTTGAATGTGACTCAAAAATGGAGCATTGTGTTGATGAACTATTTATTAAAAACCTCCAACGAAGCCGGCTGCTTTTTGAGAAGAGGTGGGACGTCTGTGTTTCTTCTGCTGCCCTACAGACCCTCCGGCAAGCCAAGTGGAACACTCCGGACCTGCTCCCTCTGACTGAGGACGTTAGAGCCATGCATGCACATATTGAGGTATGTCGACCTGAATATGTGCAAACCCTAATAAGTGAGCCAACGTCTAAGCATTGGTCTAAACTGGCAGTTTTGACTCTTTGTGAGGTCATCATTTTCAATCGAAGAAGGGAAGGTGAGGTTTCAAAGATGCCACTGACAGCCTTTACCTTAAGAAGTAAGACTGGGATCCATTCTGACATTGCTCTGGGACTGTCCCAACTTGAGAAAAAGCTGTGTCAGCATTTTCAACGCATTGAAATTAAAGGGAAAAGAAGTCGGAAAGTGCCGGTTCTTTTGACTCCTGAAATGATTGCTTCGATGGAGGTGCTGGTGGAGAACAGAAGGGCCTGTTCCATCTCTGACCATAACCCATACTTCTTTTCCCGCCCGGGCGCAGACACCCACATCAGGGGATCAGACTCCCTACGCCAGGTAGCCAAAGAATGTGGTGCGGTGCATCCAGAGATGCTATCCTCAACCAAACTTAGAAAGCACATAGCTACTATGTCTACAGTTCTCAATATGAAAGAGAATGAGATGGACATACTTGCCAACTTCCTCGGCCATGACATTCGCATCCACAGGCAATATTACAGACTACCAGAGGGGACACTGGAGCTGGCCAAAATCAGCAAAGTGTTGATGGCCATGGAGCAGGGAAGAGTGACGGAATTCGAAGGAAAGAGCCTCGACCAAATACAAATTGAGCCTGAAGGTAATTCTTGATATTATTAAAATATGTATGATTTTTTTCCCCTAAAGGCCACTTGTATTTTTATTTTCTGTGCGACAGGGAGAGCAGTAGAGATCCTCTCACAAACGGACGGGCTAAAAGAAACTTCAAGCGGAGAACCTTCAACCATTCATCCAGATGCACCCCATGGTAGTGGCAGTGCCCCTTCTGGTAAGTGTACCAGGTGGGGGATTACAGCCAGGCTGCTTGGTCCTCACCCTGGGAGTGTATATTGCTAATATATTTTTATTTCTCTCCCTAGAACGTGTAAGAAAGCCATGGTCTGCATCTGAGGTGAAGGCTGTGGAGAAGACCATGACACCTTTCATACAGACTGGAAAGGTCCCTGGGAAGTCTCACTGCCTGGCCTGCATTAATGCCTCACCAGATGACCTTAGACATCGGACATGGAGTGGCATTAAATTCTATGTCAAAAATAGAATCACTGCAATTCGAAAACAAAATCTAAAATAAAATTCCTTTAAAATAGTTGTTTGGTTTCTATTGACTGTTTTGTATTACTTAAAGTCTTGGTAAAAAAAGATTATGTCTATGGGTCCCATTCTGAACGGCCCTGTCAAAGGGACCCACCAGGTAACAAAAACGTGTATGTGTGTGTCTGTGTGTGTGTCTGTGTGTGTCTGTGTGTGTGTCTGTGTATGTGTCTGTATGTGTCTGTGTGTGTCTGTGTGTGTGTCTGTGTATGTGTCTGTATGTGTCTGTGTGTGTGTCTGTGTATGTGTTGTGTGTGTCTGTGTGTGTGTCTGTGTGTGTGTCTGTGTGTGTGTCTGTGTGTGTGTCTGTATGTGTGTCTGTATGTGTGTGTCTGTGTGTGTGTCTGTGTGTGTGTCTGTGTGTGTGTCTGTGTGTGTGTCTGTCTGTGTCTGTGTGTGTGTCTGTGTGTGTGTCTGTGTATGTGTCTGTGTGTGTGTCTGTGTATGTGTCTGTGTCTGTGTGTGTGTCTGTGTGTGTGTCTGTGTGTGTGTCTGTGTGTGTGTCTGTGTGTGTATCTGTATGTGTGTCTGTATGTGTCTGTGTGTGTGTCTGTGTATGTGTCTGTATGTGTCTGTGTGTGTCTGTGTGTGTGTCTGTGTGTGTGTTTGTGTGTGTGTCTGTGTGTGTGTCTGTGTGTGTGTCTGTATGTGTGTCTGTATGTGTCTGTGTGTGTGTCTGTGTATGTGTCTGTGTGTGTCTGTGTGTGTGTCTGTGTGTGTGTGTGTGTCTGTCTGTGTGTGTGTGTGTGTCTGTGTGTGTGTCTGTGTATGTGTGTGTGTCTGTGTGTGTGTGTGTGTGTGTCTGTGTGTGTGTCTGTGTGTGTGTCTGTGTGTGTGTCTGTGTGTGTGTCTGTGTGTGTGTCTGTATGTGTGTCTGTATGTGTGTCTGTGTGTGTGTCTGTGTGTCTGTGTGTGTGTCTGTGTGTGTGTCTGTGTGTGTGTCTGTGTGTGTGTGTGTGTGTGTGTGTGTCTCTGTACGTATGTTTGTGTGGGTGTCTGTGTGTCTATGTGTGTGTCTGTGTCTGTGTGTGTGTGTGTCTGTGTGTGTGTGTGTCTCTGTGTGTGTGTGTGTGTGTCTGTGTGTGTGTATGTGTCTGTGTGTGTGTGTCTGTGTGTGTGTGTCTGTGTCTCTGTGTTTGTGTCTGTGTGTGTGTCTGTGTCTCTGTGTGTGTGTTTGTGTCTGTGTGTGTGTGTGTGTGTGTGTATGTGTCTGTGTGTGTCTGTGTGTGGGTGTGTTACCAGGATGTGAGCCTTGTAGCTGTAGCTCTCCTCTCTCTTCTTTGTGATCAGCAGGAGTTTCTCAAGGAGGAACAGGCTCCTGAGGTTCTTGGCTCCTTGTAGTCTGAAGGACCCCTCCAGGACCAGCTCCCCGAACTCCATCAGGTCTGGACCCTTCCAGCCAATCAGCAGACTCTGGACCTCCTACACACAGGAGAGGACCGTAACAACCTCTGAGGACCAGGAGAGGACTGTAACAACCGCTGAGGACCAGGAGAGGACCGCAATAACCACTGAGAGCCAGGAGAGGACCGTAACAACCCCTGATAACACGGGAGAGGACCGTAACAACTCCTGAGGACCAGGAGAGGACCGTAACAACTCCTGAGGACCAAGAGAGGACTGTAACAATCCCTGAGGACCAGGAGAGGACCGCAACAACCTCTGATCACACAGGAGAGGACCGTAACAACCCCTGATAACACGGGAGAGGACCGTAACAACTCCTGAGGACCAGGAGAGGTCCGTAACAACTCCTGAGGACCAAGAGAGGACTGTAACAATCCCTGAGGACCAGGAGAGGACCGCAATAACCACTGAGAACCAGGAGAGGACCGTAACAACCCCTGAGGATCAGGAGAGGACCATAACAACCCCTGAGGACCAGGAGAGGATCGTAACAACCCCTGAGGACCAGGAGAGGACCGCAACAACCCCTGAGGACCAGGAGAGGACTGCAATAACCACTGAGAACCAGGAGAGGACCGTAACAACCCCTGAGGATCAGGAGAGGACCATAACAACCCCTGAGGACCAGGAGAGGATCGTAACAACCCCTGAGGACCAGGAGAGGACTCCTGAGGACCAGGAGAGGACCATAACAACCCCTGAGGACCAGGAGAGGACCATAACAACCCCTGAGGACCAGGAGAGGACCATAACAACCCCTGAGGACCAGGAGAGGACCGTAACAACCCCCGAGGACCAGGAGAGGACCACAACAACCACTGATAACACAGAAGAGGACAGCAACAATCCCTGAGGACCAGGAGAGGACCGTAACAACCCCTGAGGACCAGGAAAGGACCATAACATCCCCTGAGGACCAGGAGAGGACCGTAACAACCCCTGAGGACCAGGAGAGGACTCCTGAGGGCCAGGAGAGGACCATAACAACCCCTGAGGACCAGGAGAGGACCACAACAACCACTGATCACACAGGATAGGACCGTAACAACCCCTGATAACACAGGAGAGGACCGTAACAACCACTGATCACACAGGAGAGGACCGTAACAACCCCTGAGGACCAGGAGAGGACCGTAACAACCCCATGTATGTATCACAACAGTTGTTTCTCTGAGGACTTTACACAACTGTCAATTCTCCAACACAGATCATTGGACCATAACTGTCCTGATCCTCTCGGCCCCGCCCACCACTGACTCACAAGTTAGAGTTAGTTAGAGTTAGTTAGACTTGGTTAGAGTTAGTTAGTTAGACTTAGTTAGAGTTAGAGTTCAAGTTCAAGTTCATAGTTGACTATAGTGGACTACAGTGGACTATAGTGGACAATAGTGGACTACAGTGGACTATAGTGGACAATAGTGGACAATAGTGGACTACAGTGGACTATAGTGGACCCCTTCTCATAACCACACTCCACCAACAAACACCCCACACATCCCCAAAAAACCAACACCCAAAACATTTATGTTTTATTCCCTATTTCCACCTAACCTCTCCCCACCACAACACAAATGCAAACAATTACACCATAAATATCATTCTCCTAAAATTCCCAATCCAAATCCAAACTTAACCCCCACCCTCACACCCCAAAACAAAAAATACAATCCACCCCACCCCTATTCCCCCCCCCATATTCTACCATCCCCAAATAATTACAAACAAAAACCCCCCCCCATCCCTATTATTAACACATAATTACACAAACTATCTTCCCCCACCACTACTCTAATTCATAAAATCCATCACCATATATACCCACCTCAACATCATACCCCACTCCATCCATATATACCACCTCATCACCCATCCATACAAATCACAAATTTAAATAAACCCTTTCTTCCCATCCTCCCATTCCCCTTCTTATCTCACATAATATTCTCTAAAACCTTTAAATTCACCCCCTCAAACACCAAAACCCCAACTTCTCTATCCTCCCACACAATCCATTCCTCTTCTTAACATCCCCCAATCCAACCATCCTATACACCCAAAAAACCCCCACCTTCTCTCATCACTCTCATCTCCATTTATCCAATTATCATCTCACCACCTCATCTTATTTTTCATTATATAAACTATATCATCTTTAAAATAAAACCCCCACATAAAATACTATTCCCCCTAAATCAACTAACAAATCTCTCAACACCTCAATTTATATAAACCATTTAATATTCCCCCAAACCCTCCAAAATTCAAACTCACCCATTAAAAAACTCAACCCCCTAACTCAATATCTATCTCATAAAAATCACATTCTACCACATAACAAACAATCTCAACTCTAAAAATCACATTATACAAATACTAAAAAATATCTCATCCCTCAATAAACTTTTTATTTCAAAAATCAATCACTTAAAAACAAACAAACCCACCCAAACAAAAATCAATAATCACTAAACCCTATATACCACCAAAACTCAAAAAACCCAATCAACCACATAAATCTTCTCAACACCCACCACCACAACCCCAATTCCACATATCACAAAAAATCCATTCCAATCTCCACTTCATCACATCAATCACCCAACAACCCCAAACACATAACACTCATCCTCCATCTTCATCCACAAATCATCCAATCACCCACCACACATCTTTCTCAAATAAACTACCCCCATCCTAAACAACCCAATTACACCAAATCTATTCCACCACCCAAAACAACAACCCCCCAAATAAAACAAAATCCCCCCTCCCAATCTCCCCCATTTCTCTATCAAATCCATCAATCCCCCCCACCCACAATTCCCTCCCAAAACAAAATTAAACCCACCCACAACAACCACCCAAATACTAACAATCTAAACATCCTATCACTATAATTTCAAATCAAAAAACCCCCAATAAATCTCATCCTAACTTCATTTTCTTATAAATTATCAAATCCCCCCCTATTAATCACAAACAAACCACCCACTATCCTATAAAAAAACTTTTCTCATAAACCTAATTCCAAAAATTACACCACTAAACCCCAACCCCTACAATTATATTATATAAAAATAAACCATTAAAAATTCAAACCTCCATCACACCTTCTTATCAAACAACTTCACAACAACCCATTATCAATACAAACACACCACTACCAAACTTCCCCCCCAATTCAAAACCCTCAACCATCCACAATTCATTCTAAATATCCCATCCCTCACCTTTTACCCCCCCTCCCTCAAAATAAAAAACAAAACCCCTAAACCAACACCCAAACAACACCCCACAATATACAATAATAACAAAATCCCCCCAACCCAAAAAACAACACATAAAATCCCTCATCCCATATTTCCCTTAACCTTTTTTCCACCAAATCACTTCCATACCACACAACAAAAAACATTTATTCTCCAACTATCCCATTATCCTCTTCTCCATCCTCCCCTAACTTTTCCTCCCATATCATTCATATCATTACAACACACCAAACACAATCAATTTATATTCCAAATTTCCCTCTTCCAATAAATTTCCTATCCCTATATTAACCTACTTACACATACAAATTCCATCCTCATCATAAACTACCTTCCCAATACATAACCCCTCCATTATTCCCAACCCTTAAACAAATCAACAAAAAATACTCCCCTAAAAAAACCAACCCCCTTAAACCAATTACATACAAAACTTAACCCCCCTATAATTTAATCCAAACCAAAAAACAATCCTACCCTCATCATACACACAAACCTTCCTCTATAAATTCAAACCACATTTCCCCCCCAATAACATACTCCACCCCATTCCTTCTCTTACCCCACCCAATATCCCCTCAATATACTACTTTCACAACCAAACCTTTCCAAAACCCTCCTTCACCCACTTCATTACCTCCATCAATCCCCCATATTCCTATCAAAATTTCTACCAAAATCATCTCTTTACTCACCATACACATCATCAATTACCAAACCAAAATTTACCCCCTTCTTTTATTACAATCTATACTTCTATTACAAAATATTATCTCCACATTAACCCCCCTATACATAACAATCCTCCTCCACCTCATCAAAAAAATATCATACTCAACCTTCCATCATATAAACAACTCATACCCACCCTAACCAATCACATTACTAACATTTTTCACCATCCACCCCATCCCACATCCATAATCAACAATCATCACCCCCACCAACCCTCAACCACTAAACCCCCCCCCTACTAAATTAAACTAATATATTCTATAATTCAACCTAACCTAAATTACCCTCATAATTAAACCAACTAATTACCCAACATACATTTAACTCACTAAATTACCCAACTAATTAATAATACCTTTAACCTCACTAATTAAACCTACTAAATTAACCTTACTTAATATAAATACTATATTCAACCTACTACTCAACCTTACTAATTTAACCTACTATTTAACCTACTAATTTAACATCTAATTCAACCTACTAATTTAACCTACTAATTTTAACCTACTAATTAATACTAATTTAACCCCTCACTATATTCTATACTTCAATCTATACAAACAACAATTCCAAATATAACCCCCTTAAATAAAAAATACTATCCACCCTAAATTACCCTAAACTATCATATAATCAAAATTCTTCACCACCCACCCAATCAAAATTACAATATAAATCTTCCCACTCTCTATCATTCTCACCTTTTCATATCCAAATATTCCTTACTTAAATCATCTATCCCCCCTCCTTCCCCTATATCTCTTTTATATTTCCTTACCTCTTACTTTTACATTCATCTCCCTTTACCCTTTACTTCTCCCTCCCTCTCTTAAAATTAATAAATTAAAAATTACAAAAATTACCAAAATTAACAAATCAACAATTAAAAAATTAAACAATAACAAAATTAACAAAATTACAACAATACCAATAAATTAAAAATCAAAAATTAAAAACATTAAAAAATTAACAAAATTAAAAATTAACAACATTAAAAATTAACAAAAATTAAACCAATTAAAAATTAAACAAATTAAACCAATTAAAACAATTACCCAAAATTAACACAATTAAAAATTAAACATCAAAAATTCAAAATTAAAAATTAAAAAATTAAAAATAAAACAAATTACCCCAACCACATTAAACCAATTACATAAAATCACAACAATTACAACAAATATAAATAACCCCCCACCACACACAACAACAAAAATATCTCCTCCTCCTCATACATAAATTATATACCTTTAAAACATTATATACTTAAACACCCCCACACACTCAAACCCAATAATCATACCCTCTATTCCATCATCATATTCTAAATCATTATTTAAATAACTTTCCCCATATTCTCTCCATTTCCCCAATCCAAATATCCTCTCCAAATCATCATTAATACACCCTACTCACACACCCTCCCTACATCAAACAAAAATAAAATTTATCTCATATCAATTATCTATCTTTATTAACATATCCTCCCACCCCCCTCTAAGCTCTCTTATTCTCCATTTAAACCCCCTCTAAAAACCATTTATTATTTCCCTAACCCTCACTAAACCAATTATAAATTTCATATTTCTCTCAATCAAATTACACTAAAAATATACTCAAATAAATTACTTCCCCCCATCCCCCCCATCCCCCTAACCCACCCCCCTCCCCCCCCATACCCATCCCCCCTACCTAAAAATCCATTATTTGAATCTTTTAACTCATTTATCATCACATCCAAAAAAAAACATTTCACAAAATACACCCCCCCTAACCACTACCCCCCCAAAAACCTTCCAAACACAACACAAAAAAATCACACAATCCAAAAATCAACATCAACCAC